GGGGGGGGGGGGGGGGGAATTGAAGCTTCGAAATGATCGGCGCATCATGCCCAAAATTATGTTGGTCTGAAAGGAACTAGTCGATCGTGGAAATGTTGCGCAATTATCCAAGTCTTTGACATGATATCACAGTACTTTAAACGATGAAAAAAATTCCTTGCAGGATATGTTCCCAACGGCGAAAGGAACTAATACAAAATTTCCCTGGTCCAAAATAATCGGATTAACTCGCTTCCATATGGTTCAAATCAATGTAAAACCCTTGAAATACTTCTCTATAACAACTGTATAGGCATGTGACGCCTAACGGAGTGCTAGTATCTACAAATATGATTTTCGAGAGAGAAAGAAGAGCATAAGAACATTTCTGTCTTTTCAACTCCAAATGTATAATAGAGAAAGAGATGTAACCGTAAATTTGCCAAAATTGTAGCCGTCAGCCGTAAAAGCCATCACTCATCCATTTAAACGCTCTTTTGACGAAAACAGTTATTGACTGCTTAGAAACATTATATTTTTTTATATCTTATTGGACGTTTGGTGTGTACTAACGCTGAGGGCTTTTACGAGCTGTCCCGTATTTTGACAAGCCTAGAGATTTTATCTGCATTCTTTATTAAGATGTAAAAGCGAACCAGATAAAGAGGCGTAGCAGGCGCACCCTACTGGTTAAACAAGCTTTTTTTTTAACAGTGTAAAATAAGCAATTATTTGAAAATTGCGTATTAACTGTATAGAGGGAACAATTAATTATATGTCGATTGGCTGATATGTAGGGCATTTTTCATTGATTTTGGTAATTGCCCCGTGTAATAACCAAATTTAGTAACATTAAATGAAACCGTGAGCAAAACGGAAGAAAACAAGCGAAACCAACGAAACGACCAGAACGAAACGATCGAAACGAAACAAACCTACCGACCAAACAAAACGACCGAAACGACCAAAAATAATATACAAAACAGTCAATAATAATAAAATGAATGCCCAGGGGTGTCATATTTGTCTCGTTTCGATAGTGGTCTTCTTCTGATCTACCTCACGGGGCAATTCAATTATCGTATCTCTCGACAGCCATCGGCTTGGCGCAAGGCGTCGAACAAACCTTAATTAAAAAAACTGATATTAAAATAAAATAATAAAAAAAATCACGGGCATAAATGTTTCCATTGAATTATACTTACCGCCATACTGTGGGCAGCAATCTGATCTGATCACTGACTATAAGTGAGCACCGATCGTGCCTAAATCTCTGCCGGCAAAAAGGATAACCTGGAAGCACAGGTAACCCAAGTTGTATACACGCAAATGCTGCAAAGCTGCGCATTATGACGCCTCTAACTTCCGCTCACTAATTAATGACCATTAAGCGCGTCAAAACGTCATAAGTAGCGTCAGATAACTTATGCTCGCAAATTCGAACATCATGCTTTTGAGTGTAAAAGAAGAGCAGAAGAACATTTCTGTCTTTTCAACTCCAAATGTATAATAGAGAAAAAGATTAAACCATAAAAAACAGTCAATAATTGTAAAATGAATGCCCAGGGGTGTCATATTTGTCTCGTTTCAGTAGCGGTCTTCTTCTGATCTACCTCACGGGGCAATTCAATTATCGTATCTCTCGACAGCCATCGACTTGGCGTAAGGCCTCGTGGAAACCTTAGTTTAAAAAACTGAAATAAAAATAAAATAATACTAAAAAAATCACGGGCATAGACGTTTCCAATGAATTATACTTACCGCCATACTGTGGGCAGCAATCTGATCTGATCACTGATTATAAGTGAGCACCGATCGTGCTTAAATATCTGCCGGCAAAAAGGATAACCTAGAAGCACAGGTAACCCAAGTTGTATACATGCAAATGCTGCTAAGTTGCGCATTATGACACCTCTAACTTCCGCTCACTTATTAATGACCATTAAGCGCGTCAAAACGTCATAAGTAGCGTCAGATAACTTATGCTCGCAAATTCGAGCATCATGTTTTGAGTGTAAAAGAAGAACATAAGAACATTTCTGTCTTTTCAACTCCAAATGTATAATAGAGAAAGAGATGTAATCGTAAATTTGCCAAAATTGTAGCCGTCAGCCGTAAAAGCCATCACTCATCCATTTAAACGCTCTGTTGACGAAAACAGTTACTGACTGCTTAGAAACACTATATTTTTTATATCTTATTGGACGTTTGGTGTGTAGTAACGCTGAGTGCTTTTATGAGCTGTCCAGTATTTTGACAAACCTAAAGATATTATCCGCATTCTTTATTAAGATGTAAAAGCGAACCAGATAAAGAGGCGTAGCAAGCCCACCTTACTGGTTAAACAAGCTTTTTTTTTTTAACAGTGCAAAATAAGCAATTATTTGAAAATTGCGAATTAACTGTATAGAGGTAACAATTATTTATATGCCGATTGACTGAGATATAGGGCATTTCTCATTGATTTCGGTAATTGCCCCGTGCAATAACCAAATTTAGAGACATTAAACGAAACCGTGAGCAAAACGAAACAAAACAAGCGAAACCAACGAAACGACCAGAACGAAACGATCGAAACGAAACAAAGCTACCGACCAAACAAAACGACCGAAACGACCAACAATAATATATAAAACAGTCAATAATAATAAAGTGAATGCCCAGGGGTGTCATATTTGTCTCGTTCGATAGTGGTCTTCTCCTGATTTACCTCACAGACAATTCAATTATCGTATCTCTCGACAGCCATCGGTTTGGCGTAAGGCGTCGAGGAAACCTTAGTTTAAAAAACTGAATTAAAAATAAAATAATAAAAAAATCACGGGCATAGACGTTTCCAATGAATTATACTTACCGCCATACTGTGGGCAGCAATCTGATCTGATCACTGATCATAAGTGAGCACTGATCGTGCCTAAATATCTGCCGACAAAAAGGATAACCTAGAAGCACAGGTAACCCAAGTTGTATATATGCAAATGCTAAGTTGCGCAATATGACACCTCTAACTTCCGTTCACCTATTACTGACCTTCAAGCGCGTCAAAACGTCATAAATAGCGTCAGATAACTTATGCTCGCAAATTCGAGCATCATGCTTTTGAGTGTCATCCCTTGAACCATGGCATTATAGCGAAAATTATCCTCAAAATTTTTTACAATGCCAATTCAATTATATATGATAATAGCCGTTAAGATGCCCCAACTTACCCCCCCTATTCCTACTACTATCAGGTGAAACTTGCTAAGAATAACTGGAAATAATTATTAAAGAACAAGCGAGAAAAACAAGGTCACTCTTGACATTTATCAGGCTGCAGAATTTATCTCTTGTTAGACGGCAACATCGAGGGAAATTCTAGGAGGTTTAGTCATTATGTCAGCATTACGTTCGATGCTCTGACTGTAGCATTCGAAGTTTCAACATCCCCCCCTGAGCAACCCCTGGGTATTTGAACTTTTGAAGATTGGCTTGTCCAAATTCCTGACCCTACCCCCCATCAGGTCAAAAATTGTGTTTAGATGCACCGCTCAGATTTTTCATAAAACGAAAATCCAGTGGCCGTAACTTTCTACACATTGAAAAAGCCTTACTGACCTTTTCCCTTTTCTTCGCAGTCATTCGCTTGTGAAAGTGAATTGTTTACCTTTAAACATCCCCATGTTAAAAAGATATAACACTTGTATTCCGTTGGAAAGATTTGACACTTATGGTTCAAATTCTCCATTCCAGCCAGCCAAGGTCTAAATCCCCCCCCCTCCGGTATGGACGACGATCAAATGCCCGTGGGTCACCAGTGGGGGAGGGGATGTTGAAGCTTCGAAATGATCGGCACATCATGTCCAAAATTATGTTGGTTACTTTTTCCGACCATGGTAATGAACGGAACTAATCGATCGTGGAAACGTTGCGCAATTATCCAAGTCGTTGACATAATATTACAGTATATTAAACGATGAAAAAAAATTCCTTGCAGGATGTGTTTCCAACGGCGACAGGTACTGATACAAAATTTTACTGGTTCAAAATAATCGAATTATCCCGCTTCCATATGGTTCAAACCGAGATGAAACCCTTGGAATACTTCTCTATAACAACTGTATAGGCATGTGACGCCTAATGGAGTGCCAGTATCTGCAAATATGATTTTTGAGAGAAAAAGAAGAGCATAAGAACATTTCTGTCTTTTCAACTCCAAATGTATAATAGAGAAAGAGATGTAACCGTAAATTTGCCAAAATTGTAGCCGTCAGCCGTAAAAGCCATCATTCATCCATTTAAACGCTCTTTTGACGAAAACAGTTATTGACTGCTTAGAAACACTATTTTTTTTTATATCTCATTGGACGTTTGGTGTGTAGTAACGCTGAGGGCTTTTACGAGCTGTCCCGTATTTTGACAAGCCTAAAGATTTTATTCGCATTCTTTATTAAGATGTAAAAGCGAACCAGATAAAGAGGCGTAGCAGGCGCATCCTACTGGTTAAACAAGCTTTTTTTTTAAACAGTGCAAAATAAGCAATTACTTGAAAATGGCGTATTAACTGTATAGAGGGAAGAATTACTTATATTCTGACTACACTCAGGCGAGGTATTCAATGTGAAAGTTTATTTAGGATGAGTCAGCCAGTCTTGCAGTCTACACATCCTACTACAATCTGCAATGTACTACAAGTATTCACTAAAACTGAAGGGTTATACAAAAATAGGCTGTGCTACGCCAGATACGAAAAACCACTAAAAAACCACTCTTTAGAAGTGGCCAAAAAATATGTGGAAACGTATTCCTCATCTAATGCAGCAGCACTATACTCCGAGGAAAGGATAACTAAAATAAACTTAGTTACACTACTAATCACAAAGAAAATTCAATGAAAGCAGTGATTTTTTACAAAGAGTTGTAAAAAAAATCACATCAAAAAAAAAAAAAAGAAAGTGGTCGAACCTAAGACTGACCGACGTAGAATGGCTTAATTTTCCCGCGAAAAGCTTAAATAATCCGAAACTACCGTGTTGCCATGCGAACCTCTTCAACGTGCCGTCTGAATTTTAATTTCTAACTAATTCGTTCCCATGTCACTCAAACGTCAGAAATTACATATGGCGATTGGCTGATATATAGGGCATTTTTCATTGATTTTGGTAATTGCCCCGTGCTATAACCAAATTTAGAAACATTAAACGAAACCGTGAGCAAAACGAAACAAAACAAGCGAAACCAACGAAACGACCAGAACAAAACGATCGAAGCGAAAAAAAGCTACCGACCAAAAAAAAACGACCGAAACGACCGAAAATAATATACAAAACAGTCAATAACTATAAAATGAATGCCCAGGGGTGTCATATTTGTCTCGTTTCGATAGTGGTCTTCTTTTGATCTACCCCACGGGGCAATTCAATTATCGTATCTCTCGATAGCCATCGTCTTGGCGTAAGGCGTCGAGGAAACCTTAATTAAAAAACTGAAATAAAAATCAAATAATAATAAAAAAAATCACGGGCATAGACGTTTCCAATGAATACCGTTATCTGTTTCTTCCTCTCCTCTCCGTATACGCTTTGGCATTTGATGTGGCTGGCGTTCGGTCCTGGAAATTACATGTAATTGTCAAATTAAGGTTTAAACTGCTAGCGTGGTGGAAAAAAGGTTTCGTGAGACGGCCTTAACATTTAAAAGCCGTAAATGCGAGAGAACATCTGCAGTGCAATCTACATTTAACTGCGACATTCCAATCTCTCTCGTCTCGATCGTTGTGATAGTTTTGTTTTGGTCGTAACAGTTGTTTAGTTTTGGTCGTTTCGCGTGTTTCACTTGTTTCGTTTGTTTCGGGTTTTAGTACGTAGCAAACATGATAACTTTAATTGATGAGGAATGTTTATCATCAGGGTTGCTTTCATTGCTTTGACGTTGATATACAAAATTAGAATTTCATTCAGCTGATCCGTGCGTTCTACTGTTCATCGACGGTAGTTGGACACTGAAATGGCTTCCTACGAAGCGTGCGTTGTTGATCTTCATCATAAAAAAAATTTTTCCTTTTGTACTATAAACAAGCAATCGCTTGGTTCCTTGTATAATTAAGGATTGATATCACTCGTGTTTTCAGAAGTCGTAGAAATTCCCCTTAATTGTGGCTTCGTGACTCGCGCTGAAAGCATGCCTGAAAAGAATCCTTCATTTTATTCAGCCCCATGCGATGAACGTGAAACACAAAGTCAATGGGGATTGGCAGGGTATACTGAAGGGTCAAATTAAAGGGGGACAGGGTCAGAGCATCCAAGGATGATTGAGCAATCTGGTGATTTTTAATAGCAATAGATTGTTCTTTGCACAAGAGTCACGTGTTTTAATGGAAAGTTAATAAGTCTCCAGACATCAGTATAAGACATAATATGTTTCGCTAGTTCGTCGTATTTGTCTTCAGACTTGACCCTACTCCTCCTCTTTTCGTTAATGTAATTATATGGTATGAGACCTTGCCTTTTTTATCGTGCCTTTACGTTCGCTGGAGCTTAACAAATTCTTTGATTAATTATACTATATCTAATTTTTAGACAATAGATCGGCCATCTTTCGTGGCAAAAATTTATCCCAACACAGATTTGTCTGGTTTTTATTTGTCACAGTGCTCTTGCAAGCAAAGCTTTACTGTTGACCTGGAAATCGACCAAAATATCCACAAAGGTATAATTTCATACTCAGTGTAGATTTCCAACAAGGGGGGAGACATAAATGAGACCTGCATGTTTTGAAGCCAGCTTAGTATAGATAATCACTTGATTTCGAATGCAATTTGGTGTAAATAAGCGCAAGTAACAAGTGCTTATTTACTCCAAATTGCACGAGAAATCATATTGTTACTTGTTAATGATCTACATGAAAAAAGCATGACAAAAAGTCGAGACATACGAAATTTTGACAGCGCGCGCGCTATTTGTAATTTGCACTCGTATTACAACTTTGCAATCGTGTTTCATGAAAAATGCACTGTTTCCAGCCAATCAGATGCGCATAATTTGTTCTCGTATATTATCAAATAAGTAGAAAAATATAAGATGGTTTTGATCCACCTAAACTTTGTATAATGTTGCATCTTGATGAAATATTTATTGATCATGCATCACCAAGAGAGGTTCAGACGTTACAAAGAGCTACAACCAGTTACAAAAGTAGTTGAGACAAGTTACCATGTGTCATAATGTGATCTTCTCACTCCCCTCTTTGCAATGTTGGTAGCTGAGCAGTGTCATGTAAAAAACTTCAATGAAAAACATTGAATATGGGAAGAAGGGTAGCTCTTGGTTTTTTCACTAAATTTCTCTCTTGGCCATCTGATGAGGTTGGTATGCTCACTTTTTGTTCAAGATGACTCAACATTTTTGTAACTGATTGTAGCTTGAAAGTCTTGGAATAACTCCGCCCAATTTCATACTGTTTCAATGATACCTGGTCACTTCGCCGACGCCCTTGGTCAATTAGCTGACACCGCAGGTCAACTTTCCGACGTCAATTTCCCTACACTAGTTTTGTTACTCGATTTGCTACACTTAAAGCGTTGTTTATGCCCCCTTTGAAAACGAAATTAAAATCTGGGCCTTTCAAAATAAAACTAAAATAGTTCTGAATGAAAAAGTTCCGACATTTACTAACTCATACGTACTTCCTACTCAGCTGTCGAACGTATCAAAACAATTCATAACGTGAAGCAGAGTGTGAAGGGGAATTTCTGGTTAAACATAACCACATAATGCTATACGCGAATGTTTCGTATATTTTGCAGTCTTATTCGTTTTTCATTTTGTCATCTTTTTATTGAGCTCTCAAGTTGCCTCAGAAATATTACAAATTTAATTTCATAGATATTCAGTCAAAATGTATTTTACATCTTATAAACAATAATGTTATTGATATAATGTTTTTTCTTACATCTATAGACAAAACACGAGTACTCCAACAATCTTACGCTGGAATAGATCGTATCCACATATTTTCATATATTTGGTTTTTATTGACACTCTAACTTTACAAAGGCCGGCCGGCTTTGCATACAAAATATCACGTGGTGCGTATAGCCCATGGCATTCCTTTTTCGATCCTGGATTTTCGTCAATAACAATAGCAGCGGCGGTTCAAGGTCAATTTTTCTTTTCTTCGATTATTCCTTGCTGGTCATGTATAAGAATAGGCTCAAATTATATTGGCCAGAAGGAGTCATAAAATATGCGAAGGAATCATTCGAAAAGCTACGTGATATTCCATATCACTGCATTGCCAAATCATTCTGCAAAGTATGATTTTTGTCATGATACAATATTTAACTTTTCATTGCAAAACTTACAGCTGCTTCGTTATCATTGTTTTTTTGTTTGTTTGAAGCTCATAAGCCTAGTATACACATGTAGTGTCCAGGTCCCACTCTGCTTGATAACAACTGGCTGAGGGGTTGACAAAGTGCTGTTGAGGAAAGGGTGGCTTGGGATATGATTCTTTTGGCATAGGAAGAAGCTGCTGAGGTGCGTGCGGGCTCACAGGCTTTGGCTCCCGACACTCTGGCTTGATGTAAGGTTTCTGTGAATCAGGAAATGCCATGCTGAAGAGGGCCTCAGGACTGCACACAAATTTGTAGACATAACGTTCGCCAGCTACTTTCTGCATAATTCCTTTCTCGTAGTAATAACGAAGAGAACGGCTCAGTTTGTCGTAGTTCATGGCAGGACGGTTTTTCTGAATTCCCCATCGACGAGCTACTTCTTCAGGGTCAATGAGTTTGAACTCCATGCCACGCCCCGTCCAAGCGATAAACGAGGAACATTCAGGCTCGTCCAAAAGAGCCACAAGGAACTGCCACAGTTGCAATGAACCCCGTCTTTGGAAGGCCCTGGGTTCTGGATATGTGACACCGTTCGGAACTTTAAACTCAGGACCTATGTTTTGCAAAAGAACGGCACGTTTTAATAACTTACACATCCATTTTAGACTTTACGGTGACCTTACTGGTGATTTAAAGAATGACATCCAAAGGGAGATATTCATACAATCAGTCGTATTTTTCTTGGCAAGTTAAACATAAACATTACTTTTGGAAAATTCATTGTTGCATGTAAAAGTATAGAAATTTAATAGATCATTCATGAATCATTCATACACAGTTAGCTGCTAATGTCAAAGTGATTCTGTTTTAGATATTACTCGGAAAAACAGTCTGGACCAGAAAATAAGAAAAAAAAACACAATTGCATTCGCAATGAGGCCAGATGTGCAGGAAATCTTTAGGACTATTGACAACTTTCGAACCAAACCAATACACCATTTTATGAATCAAAAAAGCAGCGAGGGCTATCTTGGTGGGTGAAAAGCAAATTTTGTCTGAAGTCGCAATAATTGAATTACATGTTTTTCAGGAAGGCAAGATGTCCACTTCATAAACAGGGAAAATTTGATTGTGAATATTTTTAGTTACTTAGGTTCGAAACAGCAATGAATAAATCTTTAAAGCACATTTAATTGTATACTGCCTTTTTCACCTTTCGAAGTTATAAGTAACCTTTCAAAACTAAAAGAATACGCTGTTCCGTTTGTTTTTCCACGAGAAGAAATGCCGAGTGTATCAAATACCTAAAAGCCGTTTCTAGGAGCGCTCTGCAACAATTTTTAAACGTGGTTTAAATTTCGTCTCCTTTCATGCTTCGTTTTTTCATTTTCCCTAATTTTCACCGTGTGTTTAAGGCCATGCCTATTGAAAAGTTTTTTTTTGATTCCTAACCGAAGAATAGAAGAATTATTTTCCCATTTTGCTGAGTGTATTCAAATTAGACTGCTCTCGTAAAATGCTACTCTTTACAGCTGTTACGCATACTAAATAGTTCAAAATAACCGAGCAGAGAAAAGCCATGTGTGGGGAGCGTATTAGCCAGAGCTTATCATTGAAAGAATACGATGAAACTTGATTAATTGCAAGAAAACACCATTAGCTGCACTTTGACAAAGCGCCCAGAGATATGAAATGGCTCTTCTAACTTTCCATTGATATTCAAAACACTTTTAGTCGATTAAGAAACTTCAGCGCAGCAGATGACGCATTTGTAAGTCCGAAGGTTGCTCTGTTTGCATAATGTAGTTTGGCCGTGATCTTTGCGATAGAGACATCCCATGGGTTTTTACGAGCAATAGTTTTCATTTGAAATTGCTGTCTTCGCGTGTGGCTTAATTTGATGTTCGGTGGGTGATCTCTGCAAAAACGTTTGCATTTCACGTTTTAATTAAGTTACAAAACGAAAATAACAAATAAAAGATCGAAATTAATCTTGCGACGTGCAAAGTTCCCTTAACAGAATAGAAATCAAACGATTTTGACATTTGTCAAAGATTCTGAAAAGTTTGGCGTCATCATGTTTGGTTTTCCTAAAAGTAATTTATCTTGTAATTATTCAAAAAAGGAGAGCAAAGAAGCAATACTTTCTGGAAAAAAGGTAAAAAATGATTAGACCGACATTGTGTTTCCCACTGGTTTTTGAACAAAACCGTATTCACGCGGACTTAGTTGGTTCTGTGCTCATTGTCTATTTTAGCTGTTTCAAGTGGCGCTAACATCCGGGTCTTTCAAACACTCCTCGCACACCCATTTTGAATCGAGGCATAGATCTCGTTGGAAAAGTTGCGTTTTTGCCTAATATTTATGTCTTAATCAGCAAGAAAACTTCCTGAAATTAATTGATGATATAGAATCGAAAAGGAGGTGAATTTTCCACCAATTTAAGCAATTACACGTTAGCGGATGGTTTCGTTTTCTTAAGGCAAGATACGAATAAAAAAATTGCTTGGCAAGAATAATGGTTAAGTAAAGATTACACTGTAGCTTTTATCCGGAAAACGGTTTACTTCGTGTAATGACTAGGTAATGGCAAAGTGTTTGATAAATATCTCAACGGTGTTCATGTGTCGCATTGAATATTTCTTGGGTGCCTTGCTGCTTTACGAATGTAATCAAAATAAGTCTGGTAATTAGTGCAATACAGAGATAGCGCGCACGCTTTTAGCGCAAAATTCATCTCATCAGTTATCGAGCTAGAATTTGCGATTTTGGAGCACTTTGTATCCGTTCGTTAAAAAATATGTCCAGAAAGAAAATCAACATTTCTATAAATCCTCAGAAAACGAGAAAGTTCTATAGAGCTAGATATGATATCCAATAGGTTTAATTTTGACCAAATAAAGCAGGTGCAATGAAAAATTTAATGCTTTTTTCCATGGTCTTCTTTCACATCGGTTTATTATCGAGAAATAGAAAATCTTGTAAAGGAAACCCCCTCTGTGATACGCGTAATACCTTGATCGTTTGCAAACTAGAGCGGTGTTGTATAAATCATATTAATTTACCAGCAAGTATCTTCCGTTCACTCAAGTATTTGTACAAATATTTTTCTGTGTTCGTTGCTGTTCAGTTTGCTGTCACATACACAAAAAAAATCAGAAAGTAAAGAAGCAGGGGAAATCTGCGACAGATTAATTTCCATCGAAATGGAAAAAAAGGTTTACTTGCGACATTTAATGGGTTTACCTTTGCACGAAACTCGAGTCGACGCAAAGGGTTATAAAAACCTTTAGTAGGGAAAAAATTGTTAGACTTACCGTCCCTATAAGTTGGCTTGTGTTCTTTGAAGTCGGTGTATTTATGATATCTCTCTGCGTACGGCAAAGGTTCGTCGTAAAAGGAATGAACACTTGGATCATAAACTGCAGCTTAAGAAGAAAGTGAAAGAAAAAATTAGAACATTGCAAATTACCACATTATTCCAAAATAACTCAATTTCGCTCTAAGACAAAGATGACAGCGAATATCTTTTTACCAGAGAAAATAAGAAAATTATATTAGTTTTTTGAGATTTCAATTATTTTCTACTTTCAAGTAAATGGCAAAAACTTCGAGTGAGTTTATTTTTTCTTACCGAACGTGTGCATGGAGGCCATGAATGTTACTGCTCTTTCAGATCAAGGAAGGATTCGCAGCAAAGATAAATGAAACATTTCTTAAACGGCTGAGAGCTATTATTCGGTCAGTGGCAAGCAAAGTTGAATGCTGCTTTGTAACGTATTACGTCCGGTCGTTGTTTAGCCCAAATAAGAGACAAAATGGTAAAGTCCTTAAGCACTGTGTTTTGGTGAAAATCACCGGAGCTTCCACTACCGAGAGCTCGCACAACCTTTAAACTGAGCTGGTATCTTTTGAAATAGTTTCAATATTAAATACCACTATGTCAGCAGTATTATGATATTTTTTCTGCCAAGCGGATTTAACAGTACGCGTGTCCCTTTGATAACAGAAACGTTTAAACAGGAAAGAAAATAGGCTTGTCACCATGCAGCCGTAAATCACTGAAATCTCGACGCAATCTCGCAGTGTACTGAGAGAAGTATGCTATCATTACAACCTATTCACTGGTGCGTTTCTGCCCCCTAAATTTTCGCTTTGGATTGGTTCACTACATTATTTCAGATTCCAATGCCTTTTTCGTTTCAGAAGCGCCAGTAAAAATTAACCCGTTTCCCGTGTTCGGAGTGTTTTAAAGTACACTCTTAAATCTCTGATCGTTTCCGCCCTTTCTTGTTGACATATCGCTTCCCGTTTACCACTGTAAATATCCTGTCTTTGGTATAAATTGAGGCTTCCCTTCCTCTTTATTCCAATATTTTAATGCACGACGAGGCCTTGTACACAGTTACTGTGCGTGAAATGGAGTTAAGACCGTTCAGTTGTGGGTTAGAAATAAAAACACCTCGGCAGTACCTCAGTGGTACAAACGGCTAGAGGGCCGCGTCAAAACAAAGCAGAGCTCAACGAAAAATCGCTCCACGATTGCTTTAGGCGGCTGCGTGAAGACGGATCGCTTCAAGAACGATTCACGAGAAAACATTCGTTTATTGAATGAAAAGTTCTAGTAATATCGTTCATCCAACCGTGTGAATGGCAGTGGAGCTGCAGAAAAGGCCATTCGCCGCATAAATCGCGGCTAGCAGAAATTAACGAGAGGCACACAGCATGGAACGATTATTCGACACAGAAAACCCTAAAATTGCCTTCAAATTGTTTTGGTGGACAGATCTCAGTTTATAATAGACAGGATCACTATGCATTCACTGACTATTTTCGAAGGAACATGATCTATTAACCTAGTTGCAGGTGATTTTATGTGCCTCGAGGTTTTTCTATTTTTTTATTTTTGAAAATTGTACCGTCTTCCGTTTCTACAATTAAAGAAACTGTGAATTGAATTATTAGCCATACTTTGTGCTCGCATTTTATTTTCTAGAATATTTAGAACGCATTGGGTAAGTCTGAGTTTCAGATTCAGAACGCGACAAAACTGTGAAATGGCAAATTCAACGTTAACTATTCGAGTGAGTTGATCGGGATGTGGGCTGAAGTGTTTGGTATCACCATGATAGGAGAAGCTACCTACTTATGTAATTAATCGAATGAAAGAAACCAAAATCCGCATAAACAAGAACAAACTACAGAGCTCATCAAATCATCGATTCATTCACGTGTGAACATTGATTGAAACACTTTCGTGAGTCTCTGGAAGCCGTTGAAAAATTTTTACTGACATTTTGTGAGCAATTCTCTGGTGACATTGCTCGCGTCGCTTGAAAAGGCTCTGAATTCAACGTACTTATTTTCTTAAGCAACTTCAAACAAACTTGATCGAGCGAAAAGAAACTCTATATTCTGAACTTCAACATAGCTTAATTCCTTTATTTGTATAATAAAAATGAGCAGAGTTAAGAGGTGTGTTTTTATTCTATTCGCTGTCAATAAATGCTCTTTTCTATATCATGGCGGTTACCAACAAGACTGCAAAGAAGAGCAAATCTCTTCTGCTTCATTTGAGCGCAATTGGGAAATTAAAAGGTCATGTATAACACTTTTGCAACTAATTTCTACCGGTAAGAGAACAAGGTTTTGTGCGCTTTGAATAGATATTCAGGAGGAAGAGAACTTTAAAACACTAATCAGCTGAAATTTAGCCCATTGAAAGCTAAAATACACCTGCATGATGATTGTGAATTTTAAACGACTCTCCTACACCAAGCAAATTAAATTACCTTTGACAATACCGAGTAAATGGCTCTCAAAATCTAAACTAATTTTAAAAAGTTTGGAAAAGCCTATCATGTTTTACCGTGCTTCAAGGCTTAAAATGCCCCACTGAAATGTACCGCTGTCAACGTATAATTTAATTACAGAAATACAAAATGCAAACAATAGCATCTTGGCTTGTGAGAAATCTGGAAGCTTGGATTGTAACACTAGATCGAGTAGTGAATTTGCGAAGCGGCGGGGAATAAACGATCCAAGGAACTAAGCCAAGGATTCATCCCAAATGTAAACTAGGGATCTTCCTAAAACCCTTTGAAAATGTTTTTACCTCAATTAGCGAGTATTTTTTTTGTTAAGATTTTTAAGTGGAGAAAAGCATCATAACTCGCATACAAAAAAAGAAAACAACTCGCACTCACAAAAACAAGAATACTGAAGGTCGAGAAGAAAAAATATAGCCGATTATTTTAAGTCCAGAGCGAATGGTGTTTGAAAATAATTTAATTGATTTTGAAAATGAAAAAGAGCAAGAAATTGCTTTCGGGAAAGAAAGAGCATCTGGCTTAAGGCTGTCATGAGTTCATATGTGTTTGCCAAAGAAAATATTAAAGTGGTGCAGCAATCATGGTAAAAACATCTGCGCCTTAAATTTCAGATATTGTGTTCGGTTCACTCCATAACAATTAAAATTAATTTCAACATTTTCTATCATAAAATCAAAGCGCCATGAATATTCATAATGTGTGGGCTATCAAAATGTCTAATTAGAATGAAAAACAATTCACCGAGTGGTATTTTACAATGGAAAAAATTTACCCTCTGTTGAAGATGTTTGGAGGCCATAACACTCGGCCTGTTGATGCACCTGATGATGAAACGACGCGAGACTTTGTAAACGTTCTGAAAGGAAGAGATAATAAATTACGCGAAGCCGCCAACAGAATATATATATATAGGGGAAGCCATTTGTTAGTGCTTTAACCACAAAACATATATACTTTATCAAAGCACCTAAACAAAAGGGCAGAGCTTAAAAACCGTTTACAACGCGTTCGTTTATCAGTTATCTAACAATTTCACAAACTGAAATGAGCAGCAGTAACAACTAGTACATTTCTTGTGCTAAACACACGTGACAGATTTCATACACTGCTGTTAATCGAGGCAGGGAATTGGAGTTGAAAAACCACAGTAATTGCTGTAAAGATAGCAAAAAAAGGCTTATTAAAAAATAACTTTCACTCTTCATAAAATTTTCATTCCTAAATGAGCGGAGAAGAATTGATTGGCGCTGGGTGGTCATTGCTTTAAAATGTCTTTGCCTTTTGCCAGTGGGGGAAAATCAAGAACAGAATGTGATACAGCTCAACAAAAGTGTTTCTTTCAACAAGTGTACATTTCAAGTGAAGAAAAAATTAAATTAACGACGAAAAATACAAGACTTGATTTTATTACTCCACGGATGTAGCAAAGCATGAAAATTTGGTATTAGTTCATAAAAAAAGTAGAAGGAACGAAAAATTAAAAACATTGGAAGAGACAGCAAAGAACAAACGCTTCAGAACTGAGACGAGAGAAGAAGTTTTTTCGAAGCGTACCTTGGTCGTAGGGATTCTCGCATGTCGTGTAATCGATAGGTTCCTGCTTGATGGAAGGATAGCTAGGAGCTTGCGATGAATCGAAAGGCGTGCTGTCGTACGCTAACTGTCTGTAGCCCTTCATACAGTGAAAACCCGATGGCTGAGCTGAGCAGGTGTATACTAAAGGGGAACTGCTTGAAGCATGGCTTTCACTGATCATTCTCATGTAGGAAGAGTTGTCGCTGGCCTTGTCCATCTTATTTGTGTTCTTGAGTGTTCCTCGGCGATAGTGTTCAGTCTGTTGACAGGCGCGCTCCCTCGGCTCTGCTTTAATGTGTGTGGCATAGCAGCCTACAAAACGAGAAAAAATATACCTCTAGACAAAAATGCCTATTCATTTTCAAAACAAAACTAACGTTATGAATGGCCTAAACAAAAAAGAATGCCTTATTTACATAATGAAAAAATGGGATGGGGGCAGAGCAAGGAAAACAAGCGAAATGTACAACTTTTGTTGGGAAAATAATACGCCGGGTGATTGTATTATTGCTTGAAAATCAAGGCTCCCCATAAAAACAAGAAAAAAACTGTTATTTAACTTCGTTTTAGGCAAATAGAGACCTGAAAAATATTCATCGATATTTAAGGCCATTTATCGGCGCGGATCTTTTGATGCGGTTTTTAGTGACTTTTCTCCAGTTGGAAAATGGCTGCAAATTTATGAGCATCATAACATTACAGCGGTGTTTTTAAGGCATAAATAATCTAACCCCGAGGCAAAAAACAAGGAGAGATTGGGAAAAAACGCTGTCACCAGAGATAACATTAATTACGGTGGTGTTTCAGCGGTCAGAAATCTTACTTAAGGCACGTGTTTACCGACAAAATTCGACTTAATTAACGTTCCTCTAACAACTACATGAAGACGCGGAAAAAAAATTTGGCGACATTTACAGCTGGAGGTAACTTCGCTCAAAAAAATCTGTTTTTCTGCTTCTTACCCTATACCTGTTGCTTAGTAAGAAACGTACGCCTAATCTTCTTTGAATATTTTTTTTCAGGTAACACAACAATATATTTGACAGTTACCTTCTTTCGAAGAAGTCGAGTTCCCTTCGATTTCTGGGACAAATTGCTCGTCTGTCGTACTTGGCTGGTATGGCCGGGCTTTAAAAGTCACACAGAAAGAGAAAATTAAACGTTATGCGTCTAAGATCTGAGTTTAATGAATTCGGCACTTTTTCATCAATTATTCAGGATGTTTCATTCCCTACGCTAATAAAATTATCGCTAACTCGCCGCACACTTCACGTTAACGTAGTTACCTTCAATCATCCAGTGTTCTTGCATTTGGCACAAATCTTGAAATAATTCTGACAAAAGATAAAAAATGATCCGATCTATTTCGTTTTCAATTTTTTTTGGAACGTCAGACAATCTAATAAACACAAATATTGGCAACCAAGCGTAGGTTATGATTACCTTGCGAGTCTAGAGACAAATTTTCACCCTGTCCGCGAATACGCTCAACGGGACTACAAGATTTTCGTTCGACGTGAGTGGGTCTTGAAGAGAGCTGACGAAAGTAAATGAAGAAAGTGATCGATGAATGGAAACAAAACTGAAAGTATCTTTGTTAGCGAGACATCATTTGTGAGTAGTTTACCTTCGGGTACATGTGTGGAACCTCCTGATCGTATGCAGAGTCGAACTGGTACATTCTATCTCAGTGTGTAAGTTACACACCGTTTTTGAAAATCTTGCGATGCCGTAACGAGTCAACTATCGGGCTTATATTGGTTTTTTTTGTAATGAAACACGGCAAATATAAAAACTATATGGGCGAACTCCGTATCGGTATGAATTAATTTAGGGCTTGTAGTAAAAAATGGCAACTGGCGGTACACTCCAGTGTGTTATATTTGGCCGGCTTTGTCATATTCACACGAGATCATAGTTGTAGATTTTAGCTGTCCGGCTTTTGATCAAATCTTTCATTTATCGTGAACGCGTTTCTCATTGGTTTACCAATTTATTCCTTTTGATGTATGATTGGTCATTTGCAAGTAGCAATTCAGCGAGTGTCAATTTCTGTCTATTGACCAATCATAACAATGAAGACAATTAGACTCATTTGGCACACGTTAGCTGTCGCGGCGAGTTGGCGAACGCGTGCCTTGCTTGTCATTCAGCGCTACACCTAATAACATGATCACATTCAACAATCGCTCTCATCGAGGTTAAAAACTCGAAGGGGGTTGAACTGGGAGGTAAACCGTTCCCGCCCGAAACACCGGCTAAATTGCCAGCTACAGACATCAGTGAAGCGACATCGGCCTTGTCCGCTGTTATTGGACTCAAGATTACAAAAAGACAAATTTCAAATAGTTGTTTACTTTGTTCTTTTTGGTGAAAATACGAGATGCGTGCGATTTAATTTACAGGTTAAACCTTGGGGGTGGTCCCCAAGGGGAAAAACGTACACGAAAACCCTGAAGAAAGTAGGGTGGGATTTACAATCATTTAGCAGAATGAATGCGAGCTCCTGACGGGAGCTGATTTTAATGCTCTTGCAGAAAAGGGGCTAAGCTTTGAAACAAAAAACCCCGTGGAAACCGAACATCAAGTACGCTAATTGGTATTGTGTGACGAGAAAATGAGTTAGCATTTTATTGTTCGCGCTACATACAGGTGACGATGAAATTCACTTTTTCATCAATTCTAAAAAAGTCGTTCCCAAACTTGACTATTATATTAGCAAACAATCTCTGTCTGTTTTGATAATTTTTTGCAGCAATTAAACGGGTGACTTTTTTACTAAAAATACTATCTGAGTAACCCTGGCCTTGTAATGTTCGCAATTTATCTTTGCATTAAATGAATTTCTTAGGGTTCGTGAGTGTTGGCTGTTTAATGGAAAAATTTTCCCACGCTTTAATATGAATTGATGAGGACAACTACACAATTTTTTTGCACAAATTCTCTTGAAATTGGACATTTTCAACTGCTCAGCAAACTTATTGTCCAGTTTTCTATCGCCAAAGTGGTATTTATTTCCGGGTCCCGCTCATACATTGATGTTGTTTGAGCAAGCTATCAGACCAGTCATAAATGTATTGAACTTTACTCATTCCCTTCTACACGTTACATTTGGCGGCAAGCACGCTCGTCATAATACCCTTTCCCAGCTTGATTGAGTTTTTCATCAAGCTCTATTTGACTCTGTGTGTGTTGTGTTGTCGAACCATTGTTGATTGTAGAAGCCCACGTATCATATGCACTCTTGTTTAGTTTTTTTAAAATGAAAATAGAACACAGTGATAAAGTAACTGACAAACCAAAGCGTAGGTGCGTCAGCCCTCGCAATGCGCTCACGTCACGCAGAACAACGCAATATTTTTGGAGCGCACCGCACGGTCACGTACGAGAAAACGGACACGCGGGAAATCGAAAATGCGTAATTTTTATCAATGGAATAAAGGAGAAATGATCACTATCGGTTTGAAAGGCAAGTGTGAAGTTATCAGTATTTGAAAGAGCGAGGTTTTTATTTTTTACATCGACACGAGGCACAAATGATCAACTTTTCAATAAGAAAAAGACACAATCGGAGAACTATAGAAAAGAAGTTAATACGCTCAAAATGGGAAATTGAAAAACACAAACAATCACATCATTTGATATTTCCTGCAAAATTTACTGTCCAGTGACTAAAAGGTTTGCAACTGATACGACTTGACTTGCCAGTGGATTGCGTTTGTCACCGAGCGTATGAAAAGGCACCGACAACTTATTGCCTGTGATAACTAAATTCACCTTAAGCTCAGAAAATGTTCCCCCGAATAAAGCATAATCCCTTTTTACTTCTGTTCTCTTTTGATGAACGAAATACTCTTTTTGTGATAAACAGAAAAATGAGAGTTAAACGGCAAGTCTTTAGTGCAAGCCGCGCCATGAACAACATGCCAAGCCAATTCTGCCATACACCTTTGGTAAACAAGAATTTCACAGAGTGATGTAATGAAGTCGAGTTTTTAGATTTCGCTCTTAGTGGTTAGACGTGATCCAGTAACGACTTAAGTCGCTATCGTTTAGAACTTTGTAGCGAGCGCCACCTGACCTACTAGCCTGATAATAATACATTAGATATTCAGTCGCCATGAGATGTGAAAATCTTGGAGCGTAGCAGCTGCAATTCTCGTTTACCTTTCTTTCTTTTTACAATATCTCTAATAAGTCTTGGGCTTTGTTTCGACAAAATAAGCGAAAATTATGAACAAACTCGTTCAGGGTATCCTCTCGTCACAATTTTTTTTACTTTTTTAGATTCTTTACCCTGCATTTCATAATTATGAGTTGCATTTGCTACTCAGAATAACTTCCTTTCTGCTGGCATATTTGGCAACAACTTATCCAGTGAGAGTTAATTTTATTCACAAATTTAATTTATTGGAGAGTTTTTCTATAGCAATTGTTGTTTTTTACGGCAGAAAGCCTAAATGTTTACTTCTCATCATTCGAATTGCTGCCGTGAAAAACAATAAGAGAAACACTTTGTGTTGGTTGCTGTATTAAACAGAAAATAATTTTTTTCCTAATCCGCAAAGTTGGCCTGAAATCTGACATTGAAGGAAAGTTCTCTAGTGTGAAGTGTAAAATGTTTGCTCATATTACAAACGCAGTAGACGGACAGATTCAACACTTTTACTGAAATGAAACTCGCGTCACAACTTTGCTCGTCTCATTCAATTTTTCGCACTTCGAGAACAATACAAGATCATTTGCGATTTAAGCCGCTAAAAAAAAGACAGCTTCCTCGTGAAACTTAAACGATAGAGGAAACTTTTCTTTTTTGTGGGGCTTAGAGAAGTAGAAAAGATAATAGCAACTTCACAAGTCAGTGAAAACACACAACGACAATAGCACCAACATACGATTTAGTTACACCTGTTATTGCGTGTAATGCGCACGCGTCAGAAACACACCAAACAAATCATTCCCTCCTGTAGCTCGTCTTTTGTCTTCTTCTTAGAAGTTTGTTCTTAATCAAAGATTTCTTTTTTGAAATGAACAAATGCAAAGACATTTCCATGAACATCTCCCTTGTTTTGACCACAAAAATCGATCACATAGAGACCCACTAGCTCTGTTTTGAAAATTATAGAGATTAAGAACATTAGAATATTTAATTAAATTATATTTAATTTATTTAATTTATTTTGACACAATTGCTTTGTCTTCTAAGTAATCTATAACTCTTCCTCCTTGCGCTATAATGAAACGCGACCAATTGATTTGTTAGTTTTAGCTCCCTTTCTAATGGAAAATGATCTCGGCCTTGTTTTCAAAATGATTTACATGCAACGAGAACTTTAAAAAAAGGCCTGACCACACACTCTGAAAAAATAAAAGAGAAAAAAATCGCTCTTGAAGAAAATCCCTCTGTCGGCTTGGCGCGCGCATTGATGGCAGGCTTCTGTATATGACAGAATTTTCCGGAATTTTGATGGGATCTCAATTGTTGTTTGCTCTGAGAAAGAAATGAGAGCAGACGGAAAAGCTAGCTAAATTACTTAAACTGTACTGACGTACTTTTAACGCAGTTCTGGTATATCAAAGTTCCACGCATAGGAGACTTGACATGTTCATTCAAGGAACATTAACGGACTTACCTGCTTCCGGTCGAAGATTCAAAGGGGCTTTCAGAATTTGTTTCACGAAATTTTCGTGAGAAATTTCATGAAAGAGCCGTTTTCTTTGAATGAAACAAAGTAAGTCGTTAGCTCGTAACTGAAGCGAATTCAATAGCTATTTCGTCAGGCACGCTAACTCAATCTGAAAGCTAAAACCGTTTCTTTGTGAAAGTCGTTCATGCAAAGACGGGTGATATTTTCATTCGCTCACGTGGGTTACTCGGTGTTCAGCTGCATGGTAAAATTAGTAATATGCATTTACGGATGAAGTTATTAGTTAAAAATCCGAATAATTGGAGGGATATAGAGTTTCGAAATGTTAGAAGCACTTGTACAATAAAATCTTGTTCGTTTGAACGTGCTATTCGAAGTAATCAATTTCATCGCTGAAAGAAACTAAAAAATATTAAAACTGAGAGAAAGGTTAAGAAAACCGGGATAAACTTTCACCACAGTCTGAGTTTTTTTTAAGTGTCCTTCATGCAGTGATCTTGTTTTCCCATAAATTTTCGCCACAAGATATACTTAATTTGAGTTTTATTCGATAAAAGGTACGATTGCAAGAATGATTTGTTATTATCATATTTTTCAATGCCGGCTGCAAGATTTTTTTCTGTGTTTTGAGATGGCTTCCTGAAACCAGTTTTTGTTTTTCTCAGTAGTGCGACAGAATTATTCTTTAATCAGTGAAAACTGGATTAATAACGCACAAGCAATTAAACCATTGTTTATGAGGCTGAATGAACAAAATGAAAAATCGGGTATTTCCTTATATTACAAGTCCAAACATAACAATTCTTTGTTTCTTAAGCTCTAATTCCACCTCTTTTTAACGCCTCTACCTCATCAGAGCAGAAATGGCATCTTTAATCGTCCGCTTCGAAATACCCGTTCCATTGATTCCACAGAGAAATAAAATCACATACTACATCTATAACAAAACAGTTTAATTTAAATCTTAGTTTGGAAATTGTGGACGATTTTTGGAGAGTTCAATTCCGGGTATAGCAGACTCGAAACTCTTCAATTTTAACTAAACTCATTAAGAATGAAAATAATTTGGTGCATGGCAGCAACCCAAATGAAACAGTAGCTTTTTTGAATTATTGGCTAATAATTTCAGACGATGCTAAGCCCTAATAGCCAACTTTAAAATTAAAAAAGAAATTCGACTTGTTTCAATACAAGACAGAATTGAACAGCCTATGTCAAGAATAATTACTGTCGTGCCACGATTCACACTGTATACCGACTCTATTGCTGGTCTAAAAGCATAATTACTTTTCAGAAATCGGAATTATTTCCAACTAGGTATTGATCTTTTCAAATCACACGTGTGTGCG